AAAAAAAAAAAAAAAAAAAAAAAAAAAAGAAGAAGAAGGCTGCAAATGTAAGAAACTTGTGATGCCGGAGCAGAGGTTCCTATCTGGCCTCTTGTCTTCTCAGTGAGGTTGCAAGTAATCTATTGTGATAAGAGTAAGCAGTCCTGGGAAGAAAAGCTGTGGTGGGGAGCCAGTTGGGATGAACTAAAAGATGAACAGCATGGAAATCCAATCTAGCTTGGTGTGCCATTGATACTTTTAAGTTTTACTTTTCTTATGAATGTGATTGTAATTTACTTTATTTAAACACTAAATTCAAGCTCATTTGGTTCTTTCGGGAGCCGCAGTTCCGGTAAATGAAAATTCATTATATAAAAAGTCATTTAATCATTCTTTTTTTCCCATAGTTCTGTATTTCTGTCCGTTTCCTCCATACGCACAGTTTTTTATTCATCTAGTAAATGCTAATCCAGTTACGATTTTATTCTAAAAGAGAGACCCATAGTAACAGGAAGTTTCTTTCTTTTTAAAAATTATCCCTTTTTATATAGCACTCTGTAGTTTAACAGGATAGTTACAAAGTCTTAGGAAGCCTTCCCTTAAGGAACTTAAGTTCAGAAACTGGTTAATCATCTAGTTACAGCGTGGTGAATACAATAATAAGAAAGAAAACAAGGCCTAATACTATAACATTAGGTCAGGGAAACAAATGAAAGGAAATTATTCATTCTCCTTCGGCTGATCATTCTCATTTTAAAAGAGCATAAAGCCCAAACCACTATGTTGACTTTGAACACAATGGAAAATTTGTTTCCCTCATTGAAACAATATTCTTAAACCATGTTCTGGGTTCTTGAAATAGAATACACTCTTATTTGTTTATATTTAAAACTACCATATTGGTATCTTTATTAAAAATCAGGCTATTTAGGGCAGTGCTTCTCAAACTTTAGTTTCTTTCAAATCACCTGGAGGAGTTATTAAAATAGATTTCTTGGGTCCCACCTCAAAAGTATCTAATTCAGTAGGTCTGAGTGGACCCGAATATTTACATTTCTAACAGGTACCCAGATGATGCTGATGGCTCCTGGTCCAGGGACCACACATGGAGAGCTACTGATTTATTCAAACTCAGAAAAATGTAATGGCTTCCCAACATGAACCAGTAGTCATTTCTAATCCAAGTACTACCATATTGACTCTCTCAGTATGCATTTGAGCTCCTATGTGCCAAGCACTGTTCACTTCTTCACAGAGGTGAAGAAGATAATCCACCTCCCTCAAGCAGCTCAGTCTCATAGAGTTAACAGTGGTAGTAGTATTTAAACTCACTTAATCCTCACAGGAGCTTTGTGGATTGGGGTATATAATCCTTATTTTAGGTTAAAAAAAAAAAAAAAGAGTTCTAGAAAGGTAAAATAATTTCCTAGAATTCACAGTGATTACATGGAGGAGCCAGAATTTCCTGGTTATGCACTATAAAAAGTTTGTGAAGATTTTAGTGGGCCACAAAAGGGATGGATATTTGGTTCTACCTTAGGAAATCAGAAGATGTTGCAGAAGAGGTGGCACTGAACATCTTAAGGAACAAGTTAAAGATAGCCAGATGAATTGGAACTGTGAGCATTTCCAGCTGAGGGAGCAGTTTCTGCAAAGCCATGGAAACCTGAGAGAACATATGTTCCACAGACTGCAAATAGCTATGTAAGACCATAACACAATATACCACGTGGGGTATGAGAGAAAAGGAGACCATAGAAGGCTGAGGTCAAGGTCGTAAAGGGTTTTGTATACAAGGCTAAGAAATTTTTTAAGTAGAGTAAATTTTTTATTACTACTCTTCTAATTTTCATCTCTAAGCCAGTGGTTCTCAAAGTATGATTTGTCTGGCAGCAGAATTGGCATCACCTGGAAACTTGTTAGACATGCAGGTTCCTGGGCCCGACCCCAGACCTACTGAATCTGAAAGGTGGAGCCCAGCAATCTGTGTTTTAATAAAACATCTAGATGACTCGACTCTGGTACATGCTAAAGTTTGAGAACCTCTGCAGTAGGTTGTAGGATTCTTGATAACAGCCTTCAGAGTGGCCAAAGGTGACTATAGTGATAGTAATAGTATCTGTGACTGATTTGATTCTGTTAAAGTACAGTGTTTAACAAAATTGGAATAGTAATACCTTTTAAGGGAAACATATCTTCAACATGATCCATTTATACTTTGCAAACCTGTTCCTCCATAGCAGTAAAAGAGATCTGAGTCAGGACTAGAGGTTATTATATCAGCAAAGAATGGGATGCTAATTATTGTTCCTTAGCCGAGGGAATGGTTTGGAAACTGACTAGGTTTTTGTTTTAATTATCAAAAAAGAAGAAGAAGGAATAAACCTTTTTTAAGGTTTTTGAGGTTTATTTGGGGTTTTTGTTTTGTTTGCTCATTAATATGTAAAACTGGTGTTAAAGTTAGCACTTAGATATTCTGTTTAAAACTGATGTGTTAAAAGAATTGAATGTATTTAAGTCATGAAATGACTAAAACCATTTCACTTTTTCCTTGACATAGAAGTAAAAAATAAAGTATAATCTAGGATTCTCAGGCAAATTCTAATCTAAATGCCTGTCACTATCTTTTTTGCCAAATTATGACCAGTGTTTGGTGAATTTATCTATGTGGTGTCTGAATTGAACTTTACATTAAAATTTATATAGTTCGGTAGTTTTTGGTTACATGAAGCCATACTTTGCTCTCTACAAGCATTTAAAGCCTAACATATATAAGTATTTATTAATGATCTATATATCCTTTCCAGTTACTAGGTATACAGAAGCCCCTTTTCATCTTAGCAACAGCAGCAAGAAGTGAAGTAGTATGCTGTAATTAATGTGGTTAATGCTCAGATAAACAAGCTTAGTGTTTTCCGCGCATTGACTCAGGATTTAAAAGTTCAAAGTCCACTGAGGCATTGACACCAGCCCCTTCATTTTACAGATGAGGAAACTGAGGCCCAGGGAAGTTAAATAGTTGATTACTGATGGTCATATAGGTAGTGAGTAGCAGAACCAGGATTATAACCAGATCTACTTAGATTATAATAAAAAAAAGGCACCACTACATCAGACAGGATATTTCTGAGGCTCAGTCTGATAGAACATTGAGGGTCCACATCATCTGAAGCAAAATAGTCTTCAGATATATTAGCACCTAAATTTAGCACTACACACTAAATGAAGAGTATGTAGTAAAAGTTTTGTATAAAAATGGTTTAAAGACCTCTTTTTGTATTGATACAGTAGATTAACATATCCGATTTATATTTACAAGAAAATCTAGTAACTATTCTTTAAAGTTTACAAAAACACCAAGAAAAGGATATAGATCCTCGCTACATACATGGGAAAATATAAACTGCCAAAGAGAACAATTATTCAGCCTCCTGTGTCATTATCACAGAAATGCTAAGGTGATACTGAAACTTGGGATGTACTTACCAGCTAGACTACTTCCAATTATTTCTAGGAAAAATTGGTCTAAAGCACATACCTTAGTAGGTGATTTTTGCCAGCTAGTAAACTACAGTCAAAGCATACAGGTCTGTCTGCCAGAATGTTGAGTTCCTTGTTAACCAACCCTGCAAGTACTGAGTTCCTTGTTAACCAACCCTGCAAGTACTGAAAAGCCTCTGAATCATTTTTATAAGCCAGTTTTTAAAATTTAAAAACCAGACGTTAAAATATAAAATCTGTAGTAGAAAAATCATCGTCTGAATTTAATGCAATAAGTAACCACTGGAATTTCTACATGAAAGGCAATTAGAATATATAGTTGGTAAATGAAGAGATGTGGAGAGGGTACTGTTCATTCAAAATGTATCTTAAGTTCACTGAATTGAGAACTGGATAGAATTGGGAGTTACTTTTTAAAGTAGCATATATATGTCATTGGCAAATTAGAAGTATTGAAACTACAGAGATTTCTACAAGCCATCTGTTTATTGAGATCATTTTCAAAACGAGAGTTCTGAGTATGAAATTGTGAGAATAGACTAATAATCTATTTTAAATTACTATTTTTGGTTTTAAGTAAAACACAGTTGTTTTAAATTATTTTAAGAGTTGGAAGGGAGCTTACATTTTTTAGAATAATTTAATGAAATATTCTAATTTTTTCCAGTGCATCTGGGGGAGGTGGTGTAGCCATTGACAACAAAATAGAACAAGCAATGGTAAGTAAAAATTTATAGTCCTCTCATTTCAGAGATTGTTGGATTTCATCAATTCTAAAAAACAAATACCTAATTTCTTTAAACCAAGATGACCAAAGTGTATTTTTTGATAATGAGATTTGGTTGAAAATGCTAGAATGTTGAGAATTTTTAGTCTAGAAATACCAGTGGAATAGATATTTCCCCTACTTGAACATGTTACATTTCATGCCATTTTGGGGAATATACATAATCAACATGCATTTGATCCCCTAAATATCTCAGCATCAAAAATAATTTAGAGACAAAAGACTATTAAAATGAAAACTTCAGCTGGAAATCTTTTCCATCCTTTGGTTATTTACGGTGACACTTTTACTCAGCTTTAATAAACAGACTTGTTTCTGTTGATTCTGATTCTGATTTCTGCTATTACTATCAATTTTTTGGTTTTCTTAAAGATATTCTACTCATATTATTTAAAATATTTTGATTCAAGTTATTAAAACCATAGATAGATTATAAATAAAGGCCATTGGTCTCAAACTATTTTTTTTTTTTAATCCTGAGGTTTTAAAGTTGGAAATTGCAGGTCACTTCATCTCTTAAAGCACTACTATAACTAGTTTATTATCAGACAGTTTAATATCCTTTGTTCTCTTCGTCTGATGTCTAAATATATGATTTTAAACCTTTTTTAAAAATTCTAATCTTATATTAATTGACAATTTAAGGAGTTGGTATTTTTTGAAATCACTCCAAACTTTGAAAATAAAATCCTGGGCTTGCTGCCCTAGTTGGGAGCTAGATTTTTTCCATCCCATCTTCCTTAGTGTCAGTCAAGAAACAGTAGAAACATTAAAAGCAAGAGCAGGAAAACTATATAAATGTAGTTTAAATAAACTGTGTTTATAGTATAAATATAAACTATATAAAACTATATAAATATAAAACTGCCTAATGTTTATAAGGCACCAGGTAGGCTAGAACCAAATAGCAACTCCTTTCCCTTTCACTCTTTTTGACATTCCTAATTTTGTTCTTCACAGGATCTGGTGAAAAGCCATTTGATGTATGCAGTAAGAGAAGAAGTGGAAGTTCTAAAGGAACAAATAAAAGAATTAGTTGAAAGAAACTCTTTACTTGAACGAGAAAATGCACTGTTAAAATCTCTTTCAAACAATGATCAGTTATCCCAACTCCCAGCCCAACAGGCCAATGCTGGTAGCACTTCTCAACAGCAAGCAGTGATAGCACAGCCTCCGCAGCCAACACAGCCTCCGCAGCAGCCGAATGTGTCCTCAGCATAAAGCTTTCTTGCCTCATTAAGAAAAAAACTGAAAGCAGTCTATCCTTGTGTGCCACTGGTGTTCTTTCCACTTTATACGAAAGCAAGTAGCCATGCTTCAGTTGTGTGTTTGGCCTTTTCAGTATTAGACAATCATTCTACAAGAGCTTTTCCTCTCTTTGAGATGTCATGCAGTGCTGTTGATGTCCAGTTTATGTCATCAGTACACAAGGAGAATAATAGATGGGGTGTATTCAAGAGAGCAAAGTTAGCATTTTACCTGGTGCGCACGAGTGGGGTCTTTTAAGAGCTTTGGTGGCTCTCCCATGTTTCCTATTATCCATGGATTTACCCTGAGCCTTCCTATCGCATTATAAATAACAGTTCATCTAAAGAGCCACTTTTCTTTCAATATCAGTAACATTTGCCTACATAAGTTTTCATTTATTTGTGTTTTATTTATTACAGGGCTGCTATTTTCATAATGTACATGAACAATGTCACAGAACTTTTTTAATTTTTTTGAATAATTATAAGTATCAGTAAAGGAATTGAAAGACAGGATTGCATTTAATAGATGAAACGTTTAGGCAATAATTGAACAAAAGAATCCTGGCATATTTCTAACACTAATGACAATTTACCTTCGGTATTTATTTTCAGTAGTAAAGACCCAGCTTGAATGTAAATTTTGTATAGTGTAAGTATGAAGAACATAGTGCAACTGTACAGGTAGTCACCAGTTATTGTGATATAATAAATAATTGGGCTATTTTGATGAAGAAAACTTTGTTCATTTGTTTCTACTTTCTAATAGAGAAATTGCCACGATTCCTCTGCTTTTTGACATTTCGTATGACTTTTTTTTCGGGTGGGGATAAAAAGCTGTGAAATTGTTCAACCTACTTTGTAACCAAAGAAGCAAAGCTGTGTAATGGAGTTTTGTTGGGTTTTTTTGTTGTTTTTTTTTTTATAATGCACATTCTTTATGTATTTTTATTTAGTGTTCTCTCGGTCACAATTTTCTTTGCTGTCTAGCATGATCTGCATGACCTATAATCTTTGAACCACTTTCGTACCTCATGTTTTTATCCAGCACTCTTATTGTAATATGTACTAGTCTGTGAACAATGTCAAATAAAAAAGAACGAACAGGTAGTATGGTGGAGCTGAGCTAGTGTACTATACACTAGTTGTAAAAAAAAAAAAAAAAAAAAAAAAAAAAAAGAAGAGGAAAAATAATGAAGTGAGCCATCTTTTTGTTCATTTAAAATGGTGTTTTGAATTTCGTATGCAGAAAACGTTTTGTTACATTGCAGATTTTAATGTATTTAATAAATGCAACATGCAGATTAAGTGCAGTGTATACTGAGTATTTAAATTAAAATGTACATTTCATAAATACAGTTTCAAGAGAAAGCATCATTTTGTGTATACTAACACATTAAGTATATGTCAGAAATTGATGTATAAATATATATTTTAACACATTTTCTGAAATTAAACTGCAGTTTTGTTGAAATGTTTGGCTCTATATGTGTTCAAAATTTAATTTGATTAGATTTGTATTTTCAGAGTTCCAAATATTCCTTCAATGAAAACCTATGTTATTAATGACTTAATGATGGTTCTTAAATTTTCAAAGTAAAATAATTTAAAGAATGCAAGAATGGTGAGCAATATTTGTACTCAATATTCATATTATGTCAATGACATTTAAGTAGGAAATCCTTGTCTACCAGAACTTTTACTTGAATTCAGAAAGGTGCCTGTAGAAATTAACATGCTCTGTATCTATAGCCAACTAGCTAATCAGGAGTTAATAAGAATCAATAGTTAGGTCTTCGCATTAAAAGAAGATAAGTGTTCTTTATCTAAAATTAAAACTTAAATAAGTCACAAACTCAATGCATAAAATCAGAGTGTACATGGGATTTCCAATTATTTTATATTCTAGTTATGCTGCAGGATATATTCACTAAAAACACAATTTCAATGCTAATAGAAATAACTAAAGGAACTAAGTACTTAGGCTTGAAGAAGCAACCTAAAGATATGAAGTAAGATTTTTTAATAGAGCCACATCCCAGGTGAGCTAGAAAGTGAAACTTCCACGTTGGAATGTTAACCAAAAGGCTCACCGGGTGCACCCCTCAAGTGCGAACAGTGTGATATTTAATACAGGTGGAAAAAAACGTAGTAGAAAAGGTTGGGGTTTATGTGAAAATATAAATTTTGGTGTTGGTGGTAGAAAAACACATTATAAATGCTAAAGTAATAGTCACAAAGGAAATGATTAATATGCTTTAAATGGTAATTAAAAGCAATTATTACTACTACTACATTTTAAAAAATCACGATAGAAGAGAGAACATGAATAGTTCACAGAAGAAATAAACGGCAGTCTCTAAAGGTTCACCCTCTAGTAACCTGAGAAATACAAGTTGACATTTACCAAATTATTTGGCCTTTAAATAGCAGGACCTAATGTAGAAAGGCAAGCTTTCCTGTGAACTTCTAGAAAGTAAGGTGGCAAAATGTATCGAGCCTTAAAAAACTTTTCAACCTAATGACATGAGAAGATACTCAACTACTGGTGCCATGTTCAAAACATGCAAAATTATAGTAGTGCCTGTCCTCTGCTTTCCCAACTCCCCCCCTTCTCTTGTGTGACCCATCCCCCCCCATACAACCCCAAAAATAGCTGTGAAAGGAAGCCTGTACATCCAAACCTACTCTCATGAGGCATGCCCCCAATCCAAAGTCAGGGACAAACTTAAGGGTGGGAAAGCTATGTGCTTTTCAGCATCAGATATACTGTATATTTGAAAACAACATCAAGCATTCCTCCAAATGATTAGTTTAGGATCTTAAGTAAATTTCAGTTTTTCCTCAGATATTTAGGGTCTCTGGTTAGCTGGAAGATTAATTTATTGAGATGCCAATTTGGGAGCACAGTCTTGTATGAATGCCATCTGTAATTTTCTCAGTGAAATGCTCATAGACCAAGGTGCCACATAAGTGTTCTGTTGGTTTACTTCAACCAACCACAAAATCATAGGTAGAAAATGTTTCTGATACGGCAATGTGTCTTCAGTACAAACCTAATTTTCCCCAAAGAAAAATCATTTCAAGTAGCTACAATGTGATTTTATAGCTTGATATACACCTCCCTCCCCCCAAGAAATAGAGCGATTGTGAGATATTAAATATATGGTTACTCTAACATAATTTTTTGTTCAAAAATAGCTGGATATTTCCAATGTTCTGAGCTAAGCATAAATAAGTATAAAAACAGGAATGCTTTACCATCAAGGCCTCAGCGATGGGTAATTAAAACTTCCATTATTCACAAAGAATTGTCACAGGTCAGAGATTAGGGTATTTCTCCAAGTTCCAAACCATAGTCACTTCTGGACGTTTAAAAAAACGGAAAGTGGGGAGGGTGGGCGCAGTATCTTTCCGATTAGAGTAACCAAAATACCTGTTCATGAGAATTCATCCTTGTAGAGCCAGAAATAAAATATCACCTAATTTTCTGGAAACAAATTTTTAAGATGGTCTGAAGTCACATATTTTAAAGGAAGCTTTATAGCTCAGTGGCAGGCATTTAGTGACATGACTCAATTCTCTTCAATAATCCTTTAAAAGGACAAAGCCCAGCCCTCAAGTTTCAGAGTTTAATTAAGGATATAGACTAATACATATGATGCAATAATAAAGACTTGTTATACACAGTCAAGGATGGCTTTGTTAGGGAAGGTTTCTTCAAGGAGGTGACACCTGAGTCTTGAAGGTCACAAAAGTAAAACAGTGCTCAAAGGCTTAAGGGAGAGCATAAGCAAAGCTCCTTGAGAAGCCACAGAACTGTTCCACAGGAGGCACGCAGGCAATGACTGTCTCACTTACCTGAGTAGATTGGCATCAATTCGGAAAACAGGAATGATTTATTGAATGATTTTAAGCAGTGGGATTGTAATCAGAATTGCATTTCAGAAAAATTAATCATTCCAGTGGCACATGAGAGGTAGTTGGAGAGCTAAAACTAGAAACTGAGAAATAATTTAGGAGAGACAATAATAATCCAGAACAGAAATGATGGGTAGGCAAAATTATATAGGCGATCTTGGTTCATGAAGGAAATTTGTCTTGAGTTCTTCTGTACCATTTTTCTCTCCACGGTGAACATTCCATTCCTAGCATCAGATGCCTGTTATTTCTTGCTCCAAGGAAAGATCAGAGAACTCCAAGTCTTAGAAAGTTTAAGACTTTTCCTTCCAACAGCCATATATCTCTATGAAACGAAAGCCTTTGTTTCCTGTTAAAGGAATTTCAAGAATTTAGCAAAGGGGCTGGGGGGACTAGAGGAGGCTTAGCTGTCCCTTTATGCCTCTGTGTAAATCCAGCCCTAAAGGTAAACCAAATTTAGTCCTTTTATAGTGGATTAGGATTAGGGTGGCCCAGAAGCATGAATTCAAAGTCTGCCCCTCAGAGCTAGCCTTTCCTCCTGAGAAAGGATAATATGGGTTCTAGCCCCACTGCAGATGTTGACACCCCGTCAGAACAGGTTTTGCTAGGCTTTAACCTTTCATTCTCTGACACAATTCAGAAGGTTTCTTTCTGTCCTATAAAGCCCCCTGCGTAAGCAAAACTGGACCTTTTCTCCCACCTCCTCCTGCCTGGTAATCCATGTTTCTATTTGCTAGCAATACTAATAGTGTATTATTTAGTGATGTGTATTTGCATCCTATTTTTCCCTTTTTTTCCCTTTTTTTCCCTTTTTTTCCCTTTTTTTCCCTTTTTTTCCCTTTTTGACATTCCAGTATGCATTCCTGTTTCATATATTTCTCTATCGATGCTTTATTTTTCCTTCTCCTCACCAGGGGAACTGATAGTTTAAGTAGTTTGGGGAATTTTCCCAGACATTCCAGTATGCATTCCTGTTTCATATATTTCTCTATCAGTTCACAGAATTTTTAATGGTAAAATCTGTTCTTTAAATGCAAGTATTCCTTTCATCAGTAGAGAGATTACTGTAAAGTGTAGTTTAACAATTTCCTTAGTGGTCTACAATTAGGCTGACGTGCTGTGTTCACAAATAAAAGTGCTAAGTGAGGCAGTATACAAAGTAAAAGGTCAGAGACATCCTTTTTCTGTAAGAGAATCATCAAAAATAAAAGTAAAGACAGTCTTTCAGGATTGATAATGGTAAGGTAAGGAGCTGGTATTTTGCACTGGCACAATTTACTTGGTCATAGAATTTGTTCACCATACTTGGGTGGTGAGTTAGCTTTATTTTTCCTTCTCCTCACCAGGGGAACTGATAGTTTAAGTAGTTTGGGGAATTTTCCCATAGTCTAATGTCTTGTGTTGAGCTGTAAAACAGAGCAGGAAGTTTATGGGCTAAGGCATTACCCATGAAAGCCAAAGCTATGCCTTTGAAAGAAGGAAGGAAAAGGTGTGCTAACTCAGATCATAAAAATAACTGAATTTTAAAATATGGCAAATGTCACACTTCTACTTTCTTGTAAAAAAAGTTAAGTTCACCTTCTTTATTTCCTTCTTTTGCATGCCTGAGATATTTCTGTATAACAACTGTAAAGTATGCTTGCCCACTGCAATCCAGAATGTTTTCCAGATCACAGTTCTTACTGTCAATTTAACAGGCAAGCAACATACCTATACATAGATCATACCTGAGGAAGTCCACGAACAGCAAGGGAACATTTTTCTCACACTTGGGCATGAATTATCAGGTCAGTGTCTAAATCTAGTGTTCCTACTTTTAAAAAAGAAAAAAAAATATATATATATATATATAATTTAATCAGATGGACAGAAAAAAATAAATATGTATAATTTCGTGATGCCCCTGAAGTAAAGGTTTTGTTTTTAAGAAGCTTGAGTTTTATTTTTTATTTTATAGAAACATTGTTGAAATGCAATTCAATTCTATTTCAGTTCAGGGTGCTGCACCCTGTACTGGATGTTTGGGGATAGAAAGATGAATGAGACATGATTTGTGCACTCCAGGAGCTCATGGTCCAATGTAAAAGTAAAAGCTAGAGTGTCACATTGTTTTTTTCAAAGTATATGTCACAGTTTGTGGACCTCAGATCATTTGTTGAATGAAAGGTTCTTATAAATGAACAGTAATATTGCCGTGCCACGTGATACCATTTGACATTGCCAGGAAAAAACTTTAAATCACCTAA